TGTAACCTATCCAGGTCTTGCTGCAGTCTTTCCCTCCCTACTAGCGAGCTCACCTCACCTCAAATTTTGGTATCATCAGTGAATTTAAACAGGTTGTTTTTCACCCTGTTGTCCAAATCACTGATAAAGAAATTGAACAGCACGAGCCCAAGGACCAAGCCCTGGGGGACTCCGCTGCCCACTTCCCCCCAGGTCGAATATGACCTGTCCACCACCACCCTCTGAGTGCGACCCTTCAGCCAATCTACAGTCCATCTGACTGTGTAGGCTTCAATGCCACAGTTGCCCAATTTTTTAGTGAGGATAATAAGATTTCTTTCCTTTCAACCCCGTCCCAAACTTCCTTCCCTCTCCTCCCCAAGGGCAACAATGTCAGGCTTGAGAAGATACTGCCACTATCCCCTCAAATCAAATTTTTTCTTCCCTGTGGACTCTTTCGAAGTTATGGGTATCCTTTTTTGAATTTGGCACTCAGAACTGTACAAAGCAAGGCCCTTTTTTTTTTTTTTTTTTTTTATAAAAGACCTATTATTTCCTTATCTGTGCAAGTTCAGGTTTTGTTGTTTTTATTGAGACCTTGAATGTTTAAAACCCTTTATATGTGTTTTTAAATAATGCTATGATTAAAGTGATATTTTGTTTGAAGAAACATTAAAAATGCAAGATAACTAGCACTGAAGAGGAATACACATTATGTTAAAAATCAGATTTTATTCTAAAAAGAATGCTTGGAGGAATTATCATAAAAGTAGATTGTTTCCTGGTAGATATTATGAAAATTTCAGTATCCATGTAGCGTAATGTACTCAGTAAATCTGTCATGATTGAATGTAACCTTTATTACATGCAGTCTGAGAGTTAGATGATGCCATTTCTCAGTCACTGCAGGCTGAATGGCGATGACACACTCATTTTAAAGCAGGCATGTTTTAGCAGGGCACAGCTGCAGGCAGAAGTTGTAGTAAAAAGACAATTCAGTGGTGGTGTGTGTGCTTTTGTTTTGTTTTGTTGCTGTAGTGAAATGTTTGATCATGATGAGAGACTGCCTCTTTAAAAATCATGTGTGTAGGTAGCTAAAGCAGACTGCAAAATGCAGGAGAAGCTTAGCTTTACTGGAGTCTGAGTCTGAGTGTAACCTAACTAGCTAGAGGATATGCAATTCCTGATTGACAGCAGGACTAGCATTATGCAAATGTTGTAAGAGAGAACAGCAGCTAGGGAACGGTGATCGGGGGCTCTGTTAGGGATCTCTCTACACACGCCACACTTATCTTTCTCTAGTTTTTCATTTCTCCTTCTGCTCAGTTTAACAGTCAATACATTTCACAAAACAATTGTTGCTTTTTTTGGATATGATTACATTTTTCAGTCTAATGCAGTTGCAGTTTGAGATGTGTGGGAGCTTGTTACTCAAGCTAAATTAGGTAATTTTTAGCTGGGTAATGTGCTAATCCTTAAACCTTTATGTTTTTAAATCCTGTGTATGTCTGGTCTCTTCATACAAAAGAGTATTTTGCTTGTTTCTTCTCGTCGTCTTCAGTCTGAAGCCTTATGTAGGTCAGGCTTGGCTTAAGCAGATTTCCTGAACCTGCGTCAGCTTAAGCTGAAGGAATTTTAATAAACCCTCCCTTGTAGGCGTGGGCCTAAATGAGACTAGCCTAGTTAAGCCTGATCTTTTTCTGTTTGTGAAAAAGAGCTGAGCACAGCTAGGGACTGCATGGTGGCTTCAGAAACTGCCTCCTTAATTCGGAGATAACAATGGTTGGGAAGGCCAGATCTTCTAATTTTACCTTATCTGAAAAGCTTGATTTGCTAAAACTTGTGAAGCCATATGTTAAAATTCTTGAAGAACATACCAATAAGCATTCTGTAATAGTGGAAAAAAACAAATGCTGGGATATCATAGCCGATAACTACAATGCCATCGGAGTAGATCGCCCTCCTCGTACTGCACAGGGCCTGCGCACGCTGTACAAGAGGCTCAAAGAATATGCCAAACAGGAGCTATTGCAGCAAAAGGAGAGTCATTCAGATTATAAAAGCAGCATCTCCGAGCCAACCAAGAAAGTTGTGGAGATGATTCCACAGATTTCCAGTGTGTGTTTAAGAGACAGGAGCAGTTTACAAAGGTGAGATACATTTTACTTTGTTATTAAATGAAAATTATGGCGCCTCCTATCTACTCTCTAAAGCGTTTCTTAACTTGAGTTCAGTGTCTTAAAAATGCCCACAGCACAGCAGTGCTCAAAAGAATTGGGAGCAATGGTCAGATAATGTTTCCTTTTGTTTTTATGGTAGGCTTTGTGGTGACTTCACATTACAGTCAGTTTTCAGCTCTGTATCAAAGCCTGTTTTAGAGTCTTTTGTCACACTCTGGAAAGTGAGGGTTAAAAAAGAATCAAAGAGAAATTGGATCTCCAACCTCTACCCCTCCCCTATCTTTTTAATAGACATATTATTCGAACATTGCCAGTCGTGGCTATTCTCCTCCATTTAAGGTAATACTGCAGTCTCCTACTGCATGTGAAACTGTTAACAGTTTACATAAGATCCATATAAAGTTAGTTCAGGGAACTATGAAACCTATTTCATACGCTCTTTCCTTATCAAGAATTACTTTAGTGTTCAAATATTGAACATGTTTTAACTGAATCCAGACCTTAACAAAATTCATCTTCATACACCCAAGTGCCTTTATCAGTACAAATTGATTTAAAAAATACTTTTCAGAGAATGTCAGTGAAGGAAACCAGAGCAAAGTGAACTGCAATATAAACTCTAAGGAGTGCATTGTATATTAGGGACTCTGTATACATATAGACAGAGATTGAAGAGCTACAGAATGAGAAGTTTTTCTTTTTTGCTATTCTTTTTCTTTTTCTCAGTAAAGTGAGATTTGTCTAGATTTGAGCTAGACATAATACAGGCAGGCAGTATGCAAGCTTTCACACAGCTGGCTAATACCCCTCAAATCTGACTTGCAACACCCTGCTAGTTTTGTATTGGTTATTTTAGGAACAAAACACTCCCAGAATCATATTTGGGTTCCCTTGGGTGTAGATATTTTTAACTAATGTGAGGGAAAAAGTTGAATTTCTCTATTCCTCAAATTACATTAGAGCCATGATTTTTTATTTTTTTCATTAGCAGATGAAAATAATATGTGAAATTGGCTTCCATTAGTCAGATAGTACTTATAGTCAGTAGCTCTAGTGCAACAGCTAAGTGTTTGTTGTGAGAGAAGCTGGCATGTGTGCACTTGAGAAGTTTGATTCATGGTGCCACTGGTTGAACTGAGTGCTAACAATTGCCTAAATCCCAACATGCCAGAAGCTCTAAAAATAACATGCTTTTCTGGGGCTTTGGTATAAAGAAGTCTGTAGCAGCAATGTAGCCTACTTGCCAGGGGGTGAATACCCAGGAAGGCACAGTGCAAGAGAAATTTGGGAAATAAAATAACCTTCTAATTACAGATATAAAGGCTGTGATATCTCACACATCATCTTTGGTAATAGAGCAGGGGTGGGGAGTTTTGGGAGCTCTGGGCTTTTGCATAAAGCAGTAATGCTTTTCATGAATGATCAAGTGCTAGTGATCTCCCTAATTTGATTTCTGGAGTTTAAACATTTTTGGAATCCATTATGGTTTTGAGAACATTGACTAGATTATTACTTGCCCAAAATGGTTGTCTCTAATACCCAATGCAATGAGAACTGGAAAAATAATACCTTTGCAATACTTTGACAAAATGCACTATTATTTTGCACTCCTTTGTGTTAATCCTGGGTTATATTTACCTGAACATTAAGCTAGTGTAACAAGCTTGTTTTTTTACATATTAGAATATGACTTGATTTTTGAAGGTATATTTAAGAATTGTGAATCCAAACCTCTAATGTTGCTTGGTATCTGACAAGCAATTCCTAGCTCTGTTTGATTTAAGAAAACCTGGGAGTTGAATGCCTCAAGGGTTTATAAATACCATCCTGCCCTCATGGTAACTGTTGTCCCTTTCTTTCAGTGAAGTTATCAGGAGCAACACTGTAACTGCCAGAGAAGATCCTCTTTGTTATTACAATTTCTTCTCTCTTTTCCCCTTCTATCTATTATTGTTCACTTAGCTATAACAAATCTGCAGAACTGAGTCACCTAGACATCTGGTGTCTTTGCAGTGTGCCCAGTATGGATCAGGGTGGTGGTTATTTTTTTTTTCTGCACTATTATAAGGCTCTAAACTACATCAGATCCTGTCCTGCCTCCCCTCTCCTCCTCTTTTTGGGAACATCTTTTTCTCTCTAGTTTGTTCTTCCAAATTGACCTGTTTTTACTAAGTAGTGGAAACAAGTCCCTGAGGCTAGTAACCAGCAAGAAAGAATGAGGGAAGCCATACCAAGAAAAGGCTGCAGTTGAAGGGGGGTGGGGAGGAGATGGGAAGTTTGTTGTGGTGGAAATAGAGCATGATGGTATATCATGCCTGGGGAGGAAAACACTGCCTTCTGGGGCCCCCTGAAAGAACACAAGAGGTTCAGAATCAAGGAGAGTTCAAGAAGGAGGTGAAATTTTGGAGGAAATCAGAGGAAACAAGGTTTTGGAAGTGAAGGAATATGATTTGTTATAGGCAGTACTTATGCTAGTCTAGCACTTACCATAACTATAAGAGCATGGGCATACAAACTAGGTAAAGGGGATGGGGAGTTGCATCTTGTCACTTACGTGGTAGTGGCCTATGTGCATGTTCTTCCTCTGCAGTTGAAAGCCACCCTATAGCAGCTTAACCCTCCTTCATTACAGGTTAAGTTGCTGTACATTTAGCTTTCGTTATAGATTAAGTTACTGTACGTACTTGGGTAAGACCACTCACACAGACACATCCTCCCATCTCTATCTCCTGATACCTTGTTTATGTGCCTTTACCCTAGCCTCTGTTTTCAGTTACGTAGAACTTTGCTGTACTTGAACCTCCTCAGCAGGGTTTTTTTAAGCTGCAGATCTGCCTCAGGCTGAATCTTTTGGGAAAGTTTCAGCTAAAATAGTGCAGCTGTCTCTCAGAATGAGGCCAAGGAAAATGCATTTGTTTTGCAAGGTTAAAATTCTTCCAAGAATTTAATTGAAAAGCACTGGTTTCTCTGCTTTGAAACAGTGACTTGAAATTTTGGTGGGAGGGGATCACTGAGCGCTGAGGCTGCTCCGGCGCACTGGAGTTCCAGCTGGTTGGAGCAGACTCGATTAATGGAGTGCACTGGAGTGTGGCAATTGCTGCGGTCCACCAGCCTCCTGGGTCTCGTGTATCAGCATTCCTGTGCTTAAAAATGGCCGTGGGGGTGCCTGAGCTAAAGTTCGTCAAACATGCTTTAGTTCAAGCACCCCTGCGGCCACTTTTAAGCACAGGGACGCAGATACAGCAGCTGCGGTGGTGCTTTAATTAGAGCAGCTCTCAGAGCCACTCTAATTACACCACTCTCCCCCCCCCCCCCCAACATGTATAAAAGTGTCCTGTGGTTTTCCAGATGTGTCATTGCTGTTTCTATTGAAATCCGTGTGGGCTTGCTTAGAGTTTAACAGCTCCATTCTCTGAAAATGCCATGTGGACAGGCTGTAGCCTGAGGCTTTGGGATTCAGCAGGACTTTCTCTGCAATTGCTCTCTCCAGCTACCAGGGGTTGACAAAGGAACTGTGAGCAGGGAGGTTGTATTTCCTGTGCTCTTGGTGCTACAGTGGTGCCCTGGTGGTAGTGATGATGAGGAAGCTTCCTGAATGGATTGCAGAGGGGGGAGCTGGGCCTTAAAGTGGGGGAGAAGGCAACTGACACAAAGGATAGTGGAAAGGAGACTAGGATGAACCCGGGAAGGGAATGAAATAAGGATGGTGAATTGGAACATGAAAAAATGGAGTGGGAGAAAGACTAGGTGAGGGGTACAGAGATCTGGGCTGGGGATAGTGTAGGCTTTGAGGGGAGTAAATGATACCAAGGGAGAGAATGGGACTAGGCTGGAAGGGTTTTGAACTTAGAAGTATGTTCCTAAGAATTCGGGGGGGCACTTCAGGTTCCTGACTCCACATTCCCCAGCCGCCAGGAAATTCCAGTTAAGTGCGCTGGCCAGTGTATACTTCATTACCCTCTGGTGGGTAGGCCCTTATTTTCTGTGTGAGCTACCCACCAGAGGGTAATGAAATATACACTGGCCAGCACACTTAACTGGAATTTCCTGGCTGCTGGGGAATGTGGAGTCAGGAACCTGAAGTGCCCCCCCGAATTCTTAGGAACATACTTCTAAGTTCAAAACCCTTCCAGCCTAGTCCCATTCTCTCCCTTGGTATCATTTACTACAGCAATTACTGTTGAGACTTGAGTGTTGATACTCAAACTTCCAAGCCTGTTGGGTGACCCATGCAAGTGTTGCTATGGTCCCATGTGTTGGAATTTCAGTTTGCTTTCTTTAAAAACATACAAACACATTCAGAGCATGTTAATATTTTAAAATCATATAAGTTAACAAGGGTCAGAACTAAAGCTGTACCACCTTAATTGTTACTTTATTGGTATGCTTTACAATAGTCTTCAGTGACATGAACTCATGCTGGTTTTGCCAAACTGCACCTGTCTCAGTGTACAGGGTGAACATTGCAGGGGGAATGAATCTGGGCTATGTAATGAATGAGTCTGTTGCTGGTCAGACTCTAGCCCTGTTTGTTGCAGGCTTTAAAATCAGTGTAACCAAAGAGTTGGGAGATGGCAGGAAGGGAAGGAATGATCACGTTAAGACAATTAAATGCTATCTCCAGGAATTGTTTGTATCCCTGCTTGTATTAAAGAGTTTCTTTATGGTATTGTGCACCTAAATTGCATCTTTTATAGGTGGCTGCTTACTTTGCTTTCCTCATTTGCTGCAAGCCTCATATAAGGTAGCTGGGGCCAGATTTCCAGAACTGCTTGAGCCCTCACTATAACTGAAATCAATAAGGAGCAGTGCTCTGAACAAATCAAGACTTGTAAAAGGAAAGCTGAATTCTCTAAAATACCAAGCCATAGACATCTTATATTGGGCACCCAGAACTAGTAGTTGCTTCTGGTGTTCAAGTATCTGTGCCTCAATTCTACATCTGGAAATGGAAAGAATATCTTTTACTGTTTGTAAAAATGAATGACTGAATTCATGCACTCAAATACTATAACGATGTGCACCATAGAAAGCCTGTGAAGAAATTATTTCTGTCTTCAGAACAGGATTTGAATAGTGTGCAGTAAAGAATGCTAGGGTCACATGCTAACCAAGGAGGATAAAACAAAATACCAATTAACTCTGATTCCCTAAGCACAGTATATCCTATACACTAAAGGAGCTGCTCTGGGCTGGGCTGGGCTGGGACTGGGGGCAGGGGGATGCTTGGGGTGGGATACTGTTAACCAGAGGCAGAATCCATGACAGCCTAAGAGTGGGACTTTGCCTGTAAACTATCTGAAAGAGGGTAGCACTTAAATTGGCATAGATTACCAAATTTACTCTTTTATTTTTGTCTATGCTAGTTTATTTCCAGCAAATAACTTAAATATCACTTATGTATTTTAGTGCCAGCATCGATAAAGAAACACTTGCTGGTGCCTGTTCACCACAGGCAGTGTTGGATCATCATCCTGCAGCTGTCACAATGGAGTTGGAACCAGAAGAGGATGTCAAACCTCCTCCTTCTTTGATTGTAGATTCACAACAAAGTGAGAATTTAGAACAGGGTGAAGAACACCAATTAGTGCATATTATGGAGAGATCTCCTTCAACTTCTGTATCTTCAGTTGATATGAGGATGATGATGTCTCCATCTCCTGTTCCCAGAAGAGATGAGTTTTTTAGGTTTGAGGTAGGAGAACGTTTTAGGCCCATGTGTGGATATGATCCACAGATGTTGCAAATGCTGAAGGAGGAGCATCAAATAATCTTGGAAAATCAAAGAAAAATTGGGCTTTATGTTCAAGAAAAAAGGGATGGTTTGAAAAGAAAACAGCAGCTAGAAGAAGAACTATTGAGAGCAAAAATCAAAGTAGAGAAGCTGAAAGCAATACGACTACGACGTGATCTACCAGAATATAACAGTATCTAAAATATTTATCACTTCTCTGTTACAGTCTTCAAGATACTTTATTATAATTCCTTTGGGCTAGTAAAACACTTTCTTATATTAATGTGAATGGAATGGATCAAAATCTAGCCTTGAGAAATAAATGCATGTTTTTCATTTTGTTGTTTATGTATGTTAGCAAAAGTGTCAAAAGTGTCTTGCTCAGGTTTGAATCTTCCCATCTCTTCTAGTCTGAAGTATAATCAGATACTGTAGATCTAAGTGTGTAAGATGAAATGACTACCTTTTGAAATCTTCCACTGATCTCTATCAGAGCTATAACAAGCTAATGAAAATTTAGGCAGTGCTTCCAAAAGATGTTGATTTTATGCATTACTCTTTCTCAAAGTGATCTTTATCCTTTAGTATTCTTCATGAAGTTATTTACAGGTTAATAAATATACATAAAGAGGAAAAAAGGCTGTTTCTCTCTTTTTCTTCATTTTAAATTGATGAAACCCAACAGGAATGGCAAGAATTTGGTGATGTTATACAGGTTTGGAAAATGTAGTAAACTAATGATTTTTTTTTTTTAGTGTTCAACAGCAAGAAGGTTGAATAAGTGCACATCTTTTAAAGCTGTAATACTTTGTATAGTATTCAGTGGATGAGTATTTTTATGAGCTGGTATCAAAATAGAGACACTGAAGACAACACTAAATCTTCAAAACTATGCATGCATAATTTGGGAGTAGAATTACTATGATTGTGTATTCAGTTGTAATTATACTGGTGAGCAACCAAGAAGAGGTCTAATTTGTTCATTTGCATGCATAATTATTATCATGTGTGTGCAAACAAGACATTTGCAGGTGTGTTTTGGACCAATGTCACCACTTGCTTCAGCTGCTAAATGCGGTACTTACTGTACATAAGTAATTGTGACCCAAAAATCCACATACCATTCTTCTGTCATTTGGATCATTTTTATAACTGGTAAGTTTTTAAAATAATTTTTATAAATGGTGTAAGTCATTTTTATAAATCTGGCCTTTTCAGTAAAAATATTATCTCAAGCACAAAAAAATCCACTTGTCTAGCCTTTCACATACTGCTATAACCAACATGGAAGAACCAAAAGACAATACAGTGCCTGTAAATTTATAGTCCTTAAGCCCAAGACTATCCAGATCTTGTCCTCGTATCTGCTGGGTGAATGGAGAACAACTGCCTCAGGCCTCTGGCTCCTCGTCTTCTAATACTTTTCTCCTTTTACTAACTTCTGGCACAAGAAAAGCAAATGAAGCATGGGATTAAGGGGAGAAAGAGCAAAGGTTATTTCTCTTTTGCTGAGGCCTCTAGAGATAGCAGGCCCAGGAGAGCTAAAGCCTCAGGGAAGAGAGGTTTTTCTTCATGTAATTGTTTGCACCCCTGCCATTAGTTTTCCTGAGATTCATTTCTTCCACCACCCCCACAGAGCCTCAGTATGCGACTGTGGCGCATTGGTCTGCATCAGCAGATCCATTGAATGTGGTAAGTCCTGCCACTTCTTGCAAGCGTACCGGGCCCCTCACATTTACCTTTTGTAATGAGAGGAGTAAACAATAGAACAGATTGAAAGCTATGGGATTATGTAAATTTAATTGAGGGTCTAATAGAGCTAAGGCTATGGACAATATCACTTTTAACTGCTTTAAGAGGGGAGGTGTGGGAGTGGGGAAATGGCCTCTTGGGAGCAAGCATTCTCTGATGTATCACTACAGGACCTGGCAGGCAGGAGTTACAAATTAGCTAAGTCACTGTAACTTTAACCTTGAATGGAACAGGGTTAAAAATTGCAGTGGTTTTGGTATGCTTTCAGGAGAATGAAGATACAAGCATTACATCATAACACTTTATACTGGTATCATTAGTTATCAATACAATTGTTACATCTACCTTTACCTTTAAAAAAACCTTTTGTCTCTTGTGTGGAGAGAGAGAGAGAGAGAAACTAGTTTCATTCTTTAAGTCTGGGATGAGGGATGTGTGTGTAGTGTTACTAGGGAGGAAAACAGAGCAAACAAAACTTACTTGTCAACTGTAAATGTTTGCAATCAGTGAGTTCATGAATATGGAATTTCACAATACTTTTTATTTACAGGAATTATTTAGGCTGGAGCAGCACTTTAAGCTGAGGGTCTCATTCCTTCCATAGTGCCTTTTGTATGCATTGACAATGATTAATAAGTGGCCTCAATTTTATCACAGACCTTGGCCAACTCCAGCATTCCTCAGATTCAGAACTCTAATATTATGTCTTGTAAACTTAGGGAAATTAATGTCCTGTGGAAGTGGTTCCAGCTCTGCAATTTCAGAACCTCACTAGGAGCGGAAAGTATTTTCCCTGTGGCGCTTTGCCATCTCAAATGTGATTTCTGAGTAAAAAGAGCCACCACCATGTAGCTAATGCCAAGCTTTTTTCCCCCATTACATATGGTCATGGACACATTCATATTTTCAGTGGCCCATAGAAAAGGTCATATAGGACATATATTGTTGCAGCAGTGGTCTTAATTACAGCACACTATTTTGGTTTTAAGAACCTTCCATGTAGACCTTGGAAAAGGTTCTGCCTAATTGTTCATTTCTCTTGATCTAGATCACAGAGTCTCTACAGGCTCACCGACATGGTACTTGATGTTCTTTGCCAGCATCATTTGGCTTCTGACCTGGAATAGAAGAGTTTAGATTATGGAGGAGAAAGACATGGGTGGGTAAAATTATAATAGAATATGTAGATCTTAATAGAACCCTATTTCCAGCCTCCTTATTCTGTGTTGTGGTGGTATTGTTTCTGTTTCATTTGTGAAAGGAAGGCGTTTCATCAGTTTTCATCTTTTTGCAGGTAGCTTCTTTGATCCAAAGTATTCTCAGACTTCCCAGTTCCTTTGTTCTGATTCTTCTATGTCTGATTTTTTTTAATTTCATCCTGTATATTGGTTCACTGTCTATAATTTATCCTTGAACTCATTTCTACCTCTTATTCGCTTCAGAATTTCTTCCTCAGACAAAATAAAGGACAGAGACAGACAAATGTCAGTAAAACAACCACTTCTTTCTGACCGTTCTATCCTCATGTTCCTATACCAAAACCCTAAAGGTGAATTTGGGAACAAATTCATAAGCTGCCTGAATGTTAAGAACAGTGATATTGACTTCATGGTATGCTATAATCCACCTGATTCCTGAAATTCTTCCTTCTCACTACTGGCAATAATGACCCTCCATCCTTTTGACAGATCTTGATCTCCCATTAAACAAGCGTCTTTCTTTCTGCTCATTTATCTGCTACCCCCTGGGATTTTCTTCCCTCTCCAAGTTTACAGACCAACCTGCCCCCACTGTTTTATTAATTTCTATGCCTGCTGCTTTCCTCAGACCTGACTAAGAATGCCTTGTATTTGCAAGCTTGTCTTATTTTTTTTCCCAAGCAATCAGTTGGTCCAAGAAAAGATGCCATCCAAAAAAAGTCCTTTCTCCCTCCTTCAACAGCACTTCTTGCATACAAGATCTCTCTTGCGCTCAGTTTATCAAGAAGTCCTGTTGGTGGTGTTTCTCCCCTTCAAATGCTGTTGGGTCTTCAGATCCTACATCTGGTTTGCATCAACATGTTAGGTGCCTCTTAGACTTTGGCCATCCATCCCTTCTTTAAAACATGCTCTTTCTTCCATGTTACACTGTTTATGTTAGAGCTATGGCCAATCCTGAACCTGAAGTCCCATGAACTTTTGCTATTTTAGCCCTTAACAATCAGACTAAACTAGCATGCGTAGGAACACAGCCCTGTACTTCGGTCCTTCCCTTTCTCATCAATGAACCTGGTTTCAGCATCTCTCTCCTTCAGAGCATTATATATCCAGGCCAGGAAATTAGTGAATCCTGCCTCTCATGAGACCTCCGGCCTTCTGTGTGAGTTTGCCTTTAGTAACACAGCCTGGCTAAATGGATTGTGGCAGGCAAGAATTTCAGTCTTGAATTTATGAGGTACTCATTTACCTTAATATCAGAGCAAGAAACTATAATAGTGTTTTGTTCTACATTGGTCTAGGTCAGGGTGCTCAACTTTCAGCCTGTGCACCAAATGCAGCCTGTGGAGTTTTGGTTTCTGGCCCACAGGGCTCCCCATGGGTCAGGACATTTGGCAACAGGGGGAGCAGTGGCAGCATTGCCACCCTTCCCTGCTGACAAAATCCTGAGTCCTGCAGACTTGCAGGTAAGAATTGGGCCATGAGACTCCCATCACCAGGTCTTATGGGGGCTGGGCCACATCCCCTTCCCTTTGCACAGCTGGGTTGGAGCTGGGCTGTGCCCCCTTCTCACCATTGGGTCAGACCATGTCCCCTCCCCTCCCCTGGGGCAGCTGGTTCAGAGCCAACTCATGTCCCCTCTCCGCACCCCCCCCCCCCCCCCCC